AAGAAGTAAAATACTTTGTGAAATGCTTTGAGAAGAATCATCATCATCACTACATTCTCGAAAAAAGTTATTAAGATTGGTCAAGAATTCACGGTCGAATTTGTCCAATTCCCAGGTGAATTCGTTCCTTAAATCTTTTTGTGTATTGTGGTAAAAATCTTGAGTAGGTTTCTCAAGTGGTAAGGAATTCTTGTAGTGGGTTTCTACAAGAAGTGTTTTCTTGGGTGCAAGAAAAAGGTCTATCTTGTGTGTTGAAGTGTGTGCATGTGTGGTATGCTTATAAAACTTCTTCATTGAGTTAGTGGAACAAATCTTGATCAGGTTATGATTGAGGACTAAATGTAGGTCACATGTGGAGTGGCTGAACCAGGATAAAATACTTTGCACTCTTCTCTCATCCTTATCTCTTACATTAAACAATCTTTAATTGAATGTTAAAATGGTTGGTCTTGATTAACATGCTTGTGTGATTAAAATGGTTTAAATTAGAACATAAGCACTGCATATAAATTGTTGTTTAAGCTGATTCAATAAAGATTAATCAAGAAATCATATAGGAGTCATTCCCATATACTAAGCGGTTCAATATACTTCATCGGAAATTGGTTTTAAAAAAGTTTTAAAGAAATTAAGATCCTTAAACTCTGATAAATTTTTTAAGTGTCATTAAATCTAATTCACCCCCTCTTGGATTGAGTCATTCTTTTCTATCAATCTCACCAATGAATAATGTATCACCTGCAAACTGAAGCAAATTAACCTCCACTTGATGTTGTCCAACTCTGTATCCTGTAAAGTACCCCTTGCTCATTGCCTCCCTTATCATTCCACTCAGACCTTTAGCTATAATGAGAAACAAAAATAGAGCCAACGAGTCACCCTGTCGTAACTTTCTGTGAATAGCAAATTCTATATAGTTGGACTTCCATTAACAAGTACGGAAAACTCTTGTCGAGTTTAAGCATTCTTTTATCCATTGCCTCCATTTCGTACTGAACCCCAATTTTCAAGCATGTGTATGAAAAACTCCTAATTTACTGAGTCATATGCTTTCTCAAGGTTAACCTTTAAGAAAACACATGATCTCTTCTTCCTTTTGGCTTCATCTAGCACCTTATTTGTTGCCAAGGTACTGTGCAGCAAGTTTTTACCTCCTAGAAACGCACTTTGAATTTGATCAATTATGTTTGGCAACACTTTCTTAAGTATTTTTGATAGGATTTTAGCCAATATTTTATACATTCATCCCACTAGAGATATTGATCTAAATTCTCCTAACTCTTAAGGATGATTCACCTTTGGTATTAATGCAATAAACGAAGAGTTAGTTCCTTTTATCAACTTTCCATTAGAATGAAACTCATCTAGATACCTCATGACATCCTTCTTCATTATATCCCAGTACTGCTTCAAGAAGTTGAAATTGAATCTGTCAGGCTAGGGCTTTTTGCTCCATCACAATCCTATATTACTTGCCTTATTTCATGCTCATCAAATTTTGAAATTAGCTGTACATCTTGCCCAATATTTATTCTCCTAAATGCCACCCCATCAAGTCTTGGTCGTGACCAATCCTTCTCAAAAAAAATTTCCTTAAAGAATCTATTTATCTTCCTTTTGGGAACATAGTTTTTCCTAATACACCTTTATATTTTTGGGAACCTTCGCGTCACTATAATTACGAACAAAGGAAAAAGAATTTGGGGAGTGTTCAGAATCAAAGTTTGGAACCCCTATTGTGGTAAGAACATTTTCCATGTAACGAGAAAATGAATTGTCTCACTCTTGAGTGCAACTCAAATTATGGGTAGCGAAATTAATCGATCCACAATCCCTTAATTATTTTTTTTATTGATTTATGTATGTTAAATTTTCTAGATGAGTGTTGACCTTGAATTGACATTATCTATCTATTTTGATTAATTGATTTGCTTGATCTTTTGGTTGATTAGGTTTTAATATGCTTGGTATACTTGGGGTTCTTATCAATTAAGTTTTGGTGATTGAATTATATGCATTACAAATTCATGACGAATAATTAGGTTCATGTGTGTTATAATAATTACGAATATTATATTGTTAAGAAGTTAGGTTTTTGTATACACTAATATAGAAATGTTGTACTGCCACAAATACAACGTGGGTTAGTCTACATAGTAAAAAACTCGGTAGTAGTGTTGTAAATACCGTGAGCTAGCTCTACTATGTTAGTTGTGGTGCAACTGACTTAGAATGAGTCATTCTATTCCAACTTTTAGATTTATAGTGACCAACGTAGAAGTCCTTATAATCCTACGCACTTACTTTCTTTTTCTTTTCAAACTTTGTGTCGTTCCTCTTTCATTCTTTTTTTTTCTTCGTCGCAATTGCATCCATCTTTAACGTCTCTGACTATTGTAAATATATTAATACATCTACACACTTCACATCATGCTTCTCACAACTCCCAACATTATCATCATCTACTTCACAACTCTCAACTATATCATCTCATCATATTTCACAAAATATAATTAGTCAACACATAACATAAAACAACTTTAAGCACTTATATTTTTGTGAGGTAACTTAAATGTCTGAACATATTTCCTTTGTATTGAAAAACATTTAGAAGACATTTGTTTCAAGTATTATAATTGGATTTCTAGGAATCACATTTCCGGTAATATTATAATTGGAAATGTTAATCCTGTGAACGTTTAAAAATATGTTTGGCTTGCATTTAACATTCCCATGAGATTTGAGAGTGAAAAAATTCTGTAGAGTGGAGTTTCATGTCACCAAATGTACCTTTAATAGACGTCTCCACAAGTCTCTGGAGTTTAGTGCAACGTGGCAGATGAAGGTAATTGTTGGTTTTAATAGGGACATGACACAGGTGTAAGCATGTTATAAAAACCGATCAGATCAACACATACATCTAAGACTGTTTTATGAAAACTGACTTAGATCAACACATACATCTACGACTGTTTTATGAAAACTGACTTAGATCAACACATACATCTATGACTGTTTTATGAAAACTGACTTAGATGAATACATACATCTAAGTCAGTTTTTACATAACCGACTTAAATATGTTTATTCATCTACGTCGCCTTCATCTAAGTCGGTTTTAGAACCGATGTAGATATGACAAAATAACTGACTTAGAATACAATCTTTCTAGTAGTGTAGGTAAACAAAAAATTTAGATATCAATCCACAACACGATAACGGTTTCTCAGACTTTGCCACTTAAACAAGGAAGTATAGTACTATGTCAGGATAGGACAACTGGGTTTAGGCTTACCACAACATTAGCTAGCTTAACTAAGCTAGCTATGGGATCAGCCTACTAACTATCCTCCAAATACTACAACCCTCCGATACTTGGTTAGGAACTAAGTTCCCGACTTCGTACTTTACTCAAATTGACCGCTTGTAATCGGTATAGCTCGACTTGGCCTTTATACCGTGGTCACTTTATACACGTGTGCCTCGATCTTGCCCACACATGGGACCAACTAAGTCCTAGAGGAGAACAACACATCATTCACTCCAAGGGACAACTTTCCAAGGAGGGTTTTTCAACAAACTGGACTCTTAGAGCACCACAACTATCTCAATCCGCACAATGGGATGAGCAACATCGAAAACATCTCCTCTAGTCCTAGTGATCAACAACTCATCATCACAGCACGATCAACATAGTTTTCAACTCATCATCTCAATCAACTTTCAACTTTAAACAACACAGTCATCGCAACATCTCAATAACTCAATTCACAATTTACTACTCAACCATCATAAATTAATATTTTTTCAACACATAGTACAACATACAACTCTCATCTAACAACTTAGCAACACCTAATAACTTTTGTATTGTCTTAATACATCTACACACTTCACATCATGCTTCTCACAACTCCCAACATTATCATCATCTACTTCACAACTCTCAACTATATCATCTCATCATATTTCACAAAATATAATTAGTCAACACATAACATAAAACAACTTTAAGCACTTAATTTCAACATGCTTCAACAATATCATATGTTCAACATATAATAGATCAACACACAACTTGTAAACAACTTCACAACATACAACCTATTCAACACATAATACAACTCACCCATCATGTTTACAAGTCATCTATCATGCCAACTTACACAATATATATATATTTTTTTTTTTTATAACGATCTGCCTTGGCCGTTACATTACGGAACAATACTACACATCATTAAATATATGAAATAGTATAATGAGAAAATACATATATCTATCCAACCATAAAGGCTCAATGGGTCAATAAATATATACAACGCCAACAGAATGCTACTCTAAGGTAACCTACAAAAAAAATCATCTACTCCAGCTCCTACCACCAAGTGGCCTCCAATCGCTCATAACAGCCTATCTCTGCCCTACTCTCATACATAGTATGATCATCGTAGTCCACACCACATGGAAACATGCAAGGGTAAGCTAGTGAAAAGAATCAACACACACATATATATATAAACAACTTACAACACACAACACTATCATCATCCTTAACAGGTTCAACATACAACACATAACAACGCATAACTCAGCCACAACTTCACAACACAACAACATATATACAACTTACATCAACACAAAATCAACTCGTCAACAACTTATGCGTCGTCACGCATTACAACTCGGAGATCTCCTACAACATGGGTGAGTAGTCTAAGTGGCTAAGTCCTACCGAACCGACAACACAAACCTTTTTGGGCTTGCTAGCACTACTACAAATTGATTTATCTAAGTCGCTTAATCTAAGTCAATTTTCTAAAAACCAATGTAGAAGAAGATGCGGTGGCAATTTTGTAAATAAAGGTAACGTAATCTACGACGGTTCACATTATAACCGTAGTAAAATTGGATAACCCTTGTAATTTATGACGTTTCTTTTCTAAAACTGACTTAGATATGAACCGCACATTCGCGCTTTCAACATGCGCGCCCTAAACTTTGTTCTCTCTCGGTTCATCTCCCATTCCGTAAACACCACGCTTCTCCATTCCATTCCAACCTGCCAAAAGAGGAACAGATTGTGAGGAGATTGCGAGGAGATTGCAACTGCGAAAAGGTGCATCTCTTCACTGCGCACTCTCACACACTTCAATTTGCTTTTCCGTTGAGCATTGCTGCACCAAAGCTCACTCACCAGTTGCTGCGTGCTTCGTAAGTCTCTCTCTCTCTCTCTTCGTAATTCTCGGTTCATAAGCTTTTTCCTGTTTCCTGAAACCCTTTTATCGCTCTATTCACGTGTGGCAAAATGCGCACGATTCTTTTGCTATTAGAGGGTTCCAGAATGGATTTGCGGCAATGTACCATCGTTGCTCCCTCATTTGATTACTGTATTCAGTTTACTATTTTTGGCTGAATGGCATGTTCAATGTTCTTCATGACATTAATTTATTATATAATAAAGTATTTTTTTGGCTTATTATATACTCATAGCTTTTTTGTTTTTTGTTTTTTGTTTTCAGGTTATCTTGAAATTGTTTGAGCGTGAGACAAATTTCTTCGTCCATCTGTGGTGTTTACTGGAACGAACCAGGGAGCGCAGCTTATCATTGTGCTTCGTTATGGTATTACCTCATATATTGTTGTTGCTCCATCATTTGTATCCGATTTAATGTTTTAGGGTGAATGACATGTTCAATGTTGCCCATGGTATTAAGTTAATATATACTTTTTTTTCAGGTTATCTTGAAATTGTTCGAGTGCTAGACGAATTTATTGGTACAGGTGTGGTGTTTTACTGGAACGACTGGAGCACAGCTTATCACTGTGCCCAACCCTTTTTGGTATTAGTTCATATACTTTTACTAAGGTCTTTTAGTATTGTTTTAAATTCAAACAATTATTGCCTCCCAAAGTTACAGTTTAAAAATCAATCGATTTGGAATTTTCCTGTCTTTATCTGCTCAAGGCCATATAATATATTACAGGGAATTGCTAATCTCTGCCCACTTATGAGGATTTATAGCTGTATTGTTATTTTGCTACAAGTTAGACATTTATCTCAAGGAAAAAAAATGGTTTAATGGGGTTTTAAATAGTAAAGTACAGCAATATAGAGGCCTCTGGCAACTACAGTGGCTGCTGTAGCAGGGAAGTTTAGTGCTGCAATGGTAGAAGACCAAATAGTGGGCTGAATAGTGACTGTAACAGACAGGATAGTGCCAATATTATTTATATAATTCTAGAATTCGTATACATAACTTTGGCCGTTTGGTTTTCTTCAATGCTATCCATAGATCGTGCTTTTAGGACTTATTTGATTATTTTCAATGGAGTTTGTGCTGATAGGATTGAATTTGAATAATTAACATGATACAATAGCTGGTTTGTAAGCATAACTGCACAAGAGTAAAACTGCAATTAGTTATTTTGAAGAGAAAGTTCTCCTGTCTGCAATCTAAGCAAGCAAATTATACTATGTATCTATTAGGCTATTAGCATTAACCAGATAGAGTTAGTTCATTGAAAATACAATACTTTCCAATCTTCTGTGAATATTTAATTTTTCAGTTCGAGGTAATACTCAAGATATATTCAGTTTGTCCGAGTTATGGGTGTTGTTTTATTACCGACTCAAGCAACTTTTTTAATTATGTATAACATGTTATGGCAGTTTCTTACAGCTCTATGATGGATGTTGGATTAAATGCCTCGAATAGAATGGCTGGTCGATTTGTTTATTTGTCCACATCTTGGTGGAAATATACTTATCATTGATGACGCTCTTTCCTGTGTTGGATGATAATCTATTGTGCAAATTAGAAATTCTTTTAAGCTAAATTAGAAATTACATTGAAAATAAAGAATACTTGCACAGACAATGTAAAAGTTTTACACTATCTATCAATCAAAGACTATTATATATAATCAGTTTGTTAATCTTTATAATAATTCTCTTAAAAGTTATATAAAAATGATTTCTGATTAGTCTATTATGTAAAAGCTTACTTTACACTAACAATGCACGTCCTAAAAGAAACTCCTCTAGCAGTTAGTAGTGTTTGCTTTTAGATTCTGCAGAATTTCTTATCTATTACTCACATGATAGTTCTTGATTTGTTGTTTCTGTTTTTTGGGTTTCCATGAATTCTTTTGACTTCCTCTTGATTTGCTGAATTGACCCCTTTGCAGTTAGCCGTTTCTTCAATCTAACATTATTGGTTTGTTTTATAGTAATCTAAGCACCAAATTGAAAACACAATTTTTAGTAATTAAATGTGTTTCTTATATTTTTGTGAGGTAACTTAAATGTCTGAACATATTTCCTTTGTATTGAAAAACATTTAGAAGACATTTGTTTCAAGTATTATAATTGGATTTCTAGGAATCACATTTCCGGTAATATTATAATTGGAAATGTTAATCCTGTGAACGTTTAAAAATATGTTTGGCTTGCATTTAACATTCCCATGAGATTTGAGAGTGAAAAAATTCTGTAGAGTGGAGTTTCATGTCACCAAATGTACCTTTAATAGACGTCTCCACAAGTCTCTGGAGTTTAGTGCAACGTGGCAGATGAAGGTAATTGTTGGTTTTAATAGGGACATGACACAGGTGTAAGCATGTTATAAAAACCGATCAGATCAACACATACATCTAAGACTGTTTTATGAAAACTGACTTAGATCAACACATACATCTACGACTGTTTTATGAAAACTGACTTAGATCAACACATACATCTATGACTGTTTTATGAAAACTGACTTAGATGAATACATACATCTAAGTCAGTTTTTACATAACCGACTTAAATATGTTTATTCATCTACGTCGCCTTCATCTAAGTCGGTTTTAGAACCGATGTAGATATGACAAAATAACTGACTTAGAATACAATCTTTCTAGTAGTGTAGGTAAACAAAAAATTTAGATATCAATCCACAACACGATAACGGTTTCTCAGACTTTGCCACTTAAACAAGGAAGTATAGTACTATGTCAGGATAGGACAACTGGGTTTAGGCTTACCACAACATTAGCTAGCTTAACTAAGCTAGCTATGGGATCAGCCTACTAACTATCCTCCAAATACTACAACCCTCCGATACTTGGTTAGGAACTAAGTTCCCGACTTCGTACTTTACTCAAATTGACCGCTTGTAATCGGTATAGCTCGACTTGGCCTTTATACCGTGGTCACTTTATACACGTGTGCCTCGATCTTGCCCACACATGGGACCAACTAAGTCCTAGAGGAGAACAACACATCATTCACTCCAAGGGACAACTTTCCAAGGAGGGTTTTTCAACAAACTGGACTCTTAGAGCACCACAACTATCTCAATCCGCACAATGGGATGAGCAACATCGAAAACATCTCCTCTAGTCCTAGTGATCAACAACTCATCATCACAGCACGATCAACATAGTTTTCAACTCATCATCTCAATCAACTTTCAACTTTAAACAACACAGTCATCGCAACATCTCAATAACTCAATTCACAATTTACTACTCAACCATCATAAATTAATATTTTTTCAACACATAGTACAACATACAACTCTCATCTAACAACTTAGCAACACCTAATAACTTTTGTATTGTCTTAATACATCTACACACTTCACATCATGCTTCTCACAACTCCCAACATTATCATCATCTACTTCACAACTCTCAACTATATCATCTCATCATATTTCACAAAATATAATTAGTCAACACATAACATAAAACAACTTTAAGCGCTTAATTTCAACATGCTTCAACAATATCATATGTTCAACATATAATAGATCAACACACAACTTGTAAACAACTTCACAACATACAACCTATTCAACACATAATACAACTCACCCATCATGTTTACAAGTCATCTATCATGCCAACTTACACAACATATACAACATGAATTAACCTACGCACCCAAAACAACATTTAACTTATCCAAATCACTCCTTGTGAAATGGCAACCTTCACATAAAACAGCATATCAAGAGTTATACTACTCCTATCATGCTCGTCCTTATCTCATATGAAAGATAAGAAGATTTCCTACAACTCTTATGAAGACATAAAGTCCTAATTGCATCATATACTTTGTCAAAACTTACAAAAACCGCAACAGTTATAACTAATACTGACAACTTGACCCATGCTCACTAAAACAGCCATATCTGGAGTTCTAGACCTCCTTTTTAGGTGATTCCAGCGCTATTGGAAAGCTAAGATCCAAGGCTACAACAAAACCATAAATTCAAATTCTAAAAGCACAAAAGCGCTCAACGCCTCCAAAGCACTTCCCAAGAGCTCAGTCCTTTACCTCAAGAACTTTCCCCTGGCTCGCAGCCCCCAAAGGGCTCAACCCTTTAAAAAAGCTCAGCCATTTGTGATAGAAACACAGTTCCTTCACCATTTTTGAACGACAACCTGCAAATCAGAAAATTTCCAACACATGCAACCATCTCGAAACACTTACCACTGAATCAAACAACTAAAAGCAACCCAGAACATTAATATGCAACTATAGGATTACCACGAATCATCAAAAACACCACATGAACCCACCAGCTTCCCTTACCTCGAAGAAGAAGATCAATTCGAGCTTCGGGGAAGAGAAAGAAGAAGAAAAAGAAGAAGATCTGTGCTTCCAACTAGCAACACACACCTCTACTCAGCACCTTCAACAAACAACAACACCACAAGGAAGCTCAGAAATTTTGGAACAAAAGAATATGAAATGAGGAGAAAATGAGAGTGTTGAGAGGAAAGAAGAAGAAGAATGCATGCGGGTCTTATATATATATATATATATAATCACTGTTTATAAATACTTAACTCACAATCTAAATACATTAAAAAATATATATTTTTTACTTATGTGAAATATAATAATGTGTCATCATAAAATCAACAAACTAGTATTTTTGTAATATAATTTGATAGTAAGAACTAAAATTACATATTTATAATTTACATCGATAATTATGGAGAGAGAGAAAACTTACAAGGACAACAAGTAAAAAAAAAAAAAACTAAATTGCAGAAAAAAAAATTTGTTAAAAAATATATATATCCTGATTGTCGATGGTATTAAGTTAAATAGAATAGAATATTCATTAGCTTATGAGTTATTTAGTTTGTAAAACCCGGTGTAATAAATTGCAAAATAAATGTTGTACTGTCTGACAAAATAAAAGTTAATTATAGGATAAAAATTATGAATTTTACATTGAAGGAGTAAAATTATAAAATTAAATATAATATATTAAAATCACAAAGTAAAAAATAATAAAAGATTAAAAATATAATTTTTAAATCATTGAAAAAGGGTAAAAATATAATTTAACCAAATATAAATTAAGATTCAATTACCTTAATAAATACTAGCATAAAAGAAAATTTTTGTTCATATGTGTATTTTATTTTAAAAATAAAGATATAAAAAATAAAAAGTATTTGAAGTTAGATATAAGTAAACGTTAATAATTAGAAGGTCTCGATAATTTTAGATAGTCATATAAATTAATCATAAAAATGATAGTTATAGAGATACAATAACTATTCGTGGGTCTTGTACATAAGAAATAAAAAAAAATAATCCAAGTCAAATAAGAAAGTGAGTTAACATCTTTTAATTACATTAATATCATTAAAAAAATAATCCAATTTTCTAAACTATCCTTTCTAGAAATTTGATATTAAGAATAAAAAAGATTATTAAAAATAAATACAATCTTAAATTAAATAAAAAGTATTTTGAAATTGATAATATTAAATAAAATAAATTTAATTGGTATTTATTTATATTTGATATTGACGCATTTTTTTTACTTATATTTAAATTTGTAGGAAACATTTATGAGCAATTTCAAAATAAATAAAAATTAAATAAAAAATTACAAAATATTCCTTTGATCCTTATTTTAAAAAAAAATTGTGATCATTTTTAACAAACATTTTGCAATTTTTATAAAGTGTTAATTTTATTTTTTATTTTATGTTTTTATTAAAGATTGTAAGAATGTGTTTTTTTCACACTTTTTAAATTCTCCAATTTTTATTTATTATTTTATTGTTATGGATAATTTTCTCACTTTCTCGTGAAAATTAATGATAACTAAAAAAATAAAATTGATAAATAATTTATTTTATAAAATTAATAAAATAAAATAACATAAATGTGATTCAATTAAAAATATTTTATAATAAAAATTAAATGAAGTATAAACAAAAATAAATATGTTTACATAAAAATAAGCATGAAATGATATTTTTTTTAACTAATAATATAGAAATAGATATAGATCCACGAACGGTAAACAAACTGATCCTTGAAGTACAAATTAATTGTGAACCCTTACATTTTCGGGAAAAGAGGAAAAAGAAAAAAAAAAAGTTTACTGGCCACTTTACCAAATACAAAACAACTAGTATTGATGGAACTTTTGTGGCACTGAATGAATTTTACGTTGAGGCTGATTCAATTTCGAGCTTGGTGACAACAGGAGCAAGTGCAAAGCTAGAATCTTCATGATCAGTCACTATGACTGAGGAGCCTGAACCCATACTTGTATCAATGTTGGTTTGTGATGCTGGGAGTGGATGATGATCTGGGAAAATCATATGCTGAAATGGGTTCAGAGGTTTTGGAATTTCAACTGAACCTTCCAACATTTTCACCACAGCACTCATTACAGGTCTCGATTCTTGCCTATACTGAACACATGACAAAGCTACCTTAATCATTCTTTCTGCAACATCCCTATGTTGATCCTCTATCCCACATGCTACTACTAATTCATCCACTTGTTCTTTATCAAACCTTTTCCAAACCCATATTGGAAACCACTCTTGGCTCTCATCGGAAAGGTTAATGTCAAGGTTTCTTCTCCTGCCTAGGATTTCAAATAACAGCATGCCAAAGCTGTAAACATCACACTTGTGAGTTACAGGAAAATTAGGCATCCAAAGCTCAGGTGCAGCATAACCAGGAGTGCCCCTACCCCTAGTCAGGGTTATATGAGTATTTTCCCTATTACAAAGCTTGGCTAAGCCAAAATCAGCAACTTTAGGATTAAAATCCCTGTCCAAGAGAATGTTTCCTGGTTTTATGTCATAGTGGATTATTTTCTGTTGGCACTCTTCATGCAAGTAAGCAATGCCTTTGGCTGTCCCAACTGCAATCTCATGAAGCCTCTCAAATCCTATGCTCCCCTTTTCATGAAACAGGTACTTATCAAGAGAGCCATTCCCCATGTACTCATAAACCAGTGATCTCATGTTTCTTTCAAAGCAAAATCCATAGAGCCGAACAAGATTGAAGTGATGAGTTTTGCCAATTGTACCCACTTCTGCCATGAACTGCTCCTCAATTTTCTTGTCTGAAGTTCCATGTAGAACCTTCACAGCTACAATTGTTCCATCACTAAAAATTCCCTTGTAGACTGCTCCAAAACCTCCTGACCCCAACAAGTAAGAGTAGTTATCAGTGGCAATCATTAGATGCTGATTGGTAAACCTGATTGGCTTCTCCTTCTCCATATCGTTCAGAAATTTGTCCATAGTCAGTGTCATGAATTGTGAGTCTGGAGTAAATATTCCCGTGGGGCATTTGGGCCGTAGCCATATCAAAATACAGAATATAACAAAAAGGAAACCTGCAATATGTTAACACCAAGTCAGAACTTATAAGTCAACTCTTGATCACTAAACAATAAGAAAACCACACCAGAAATGAATTAAGATGAATTCAAACTAAAAGATTTCATAGGTTAAAATCATACCCAAGATCAGCATGACTAAGGGAGACATGTTTATTAGGAAAGCGAGAAGAATGTAAGCGAGGAACAAAGTGAAACTAAAGAACAAAACGTAGTGGAATAATTTCCGTGCTTTTTGCTTTGCGAAGCTGAGTAGTATTTAATATATATTAGTCATGGACCCATGTAAAACGCGTTTTGATATGCCTTAAACAAAACGTGTCTTATTGCTGAATTTCAGAGAATTTCAACACAAAATTTAAACTGGATTGTCCCATGTTTGGTAAGATTGACTTAGAGAGAAAGGCCACCTACGAAGAGTGAAGAGAGAGAAATTGTACAAATTTCAATGACATAGTTAAAAAGAAGTAGAAAAGAAACTAGAGTATCCACTATCCACTTATTCTTGGAATAAGTGAGTAATAATTGACTAAATTGTGATAGAGTTAAAATTTTACACGTTCTTCTCTTTCTATCTACAAAAACTCTTAAACTCGCCATTCAAATCTTGTGAAGGAGTACAAACTTCGATTTAATCCCTCTACGGTGAGATGGACCATCTGGTGATTAGTCTTCACAAAACCTCAACATGGTCTCTAGAGAGGTGAATTGAACGATTCATTTCGAATCCATATCTTGTTGAATCGATTGTTTCTATAGGATAATTGTGTGTTTTTGATGAAATTGCTTCGATGATTTTGTGTGATCATTCTGTTGTGTTTTTAAGGGTTTTTGAATTGCAAAATTATCATGTTTAATTAAAATGCAAATGCAAATGCAAAAAGTTGTTGTGACATTGTTTATTCCTATCTTTTGAAAGATGAAATGAAGAAAAGTATGAGAAATTATGGATTATTAATGATTTGGAATGTATGACGTGGCTTAGAGGTGAATGTGTGGTTTTTCATGTGTGAGGGTTTAGGTTTTTCATTAATTTGGATTATGCCTTTTTGGAACTTTATATATATAGGGAGCAATGTTTTAAAAATCACTTTGAACTGGTCAATCAAATTGGTTAAATCGGGAATTGGTGGTTTAGTGTTGGAATTTTGCTTCGGATTAATTTCTCTTCTTATTATATTTAAATCTATTTCTAACCACAGACTAAAAATACGACAAGTATACCAATCGTACAAGTAATATAAAAGATTATATCCATAGGGACTAAATAAGGTAAAATAAGTATTTAATGACTATTATTGACTAAAGAATAATTTCATTTTATAATTTGTGTTGAGTATGAAATTAAATAGCATAAATTATTCCAAGGATAATTTTAGCAAATAGTTTGTGTGCGGAAGAGATAAGAAATGATATTGTGAAATTATAAGAGTTAGTCACCCCATAAGTATACTCAAACCTAACCCCTTAGAGAAAGAGCCTAGAAACATATGTTAAATATCAATCACATGAGTATCCAACATATAAACCCGCATTAATGGCTAGGGTTTGACACTACTAATGGGTCAAGCTCAATTTCTATTCCCACTAGATATTTTGTTTCAAAGCTAGTTTCAAGGGCTATTTTCCAATATCCAATGGACCTTTTATCAAATAATGGGAGATCAATCCAAAACAAGCATTAAGAATAGAAACATAATACAATAACGAATGAACACAAGCATTTATCATTAATAGGATAAAAATTAGAAACAAGTTCAGTTGGTTACATCCAACCCACAAAAAATGGGTACAACCACTCAACTATGAGGGCAAAATCAAAACTAGAGATGGAAAAGAAGATGGAAGAATCAAAGGAAAGACCTACACATAGCACGGTTCCAAACACCAAGAATCCCTTCCACAACTCCTAGGAAATGCCCTCTATGTGAATGAGGGGAAAACCCTCGAAAGTATGCCCTAAAACGAGTTGGATGGGTTAGGTCAGGGTTCTCGTGTTGGGCGATAACGTCTTCAAGAGAGTGATGCTTTCTGCCTCGAATTACTCCCGGTGCAAGAACACACATGCCCAACATGAGTTGCTTCTCAAAGAGTAATGCTCTCTGCCTCAAATCACGCTCGGCGCAGGAAACACAAGTTCGACGCAAATTGCTTCTCCAACTCCTTAGCTGTTCATTTTCAACTCTCGCAAGCTTCAATCTACGATATACTTAACACCAACCTCTTCTACTCAATACCTACACAAAAAATGAGGTGTATCAGTGTATTGTTAGATGATTTTCAAGTTAGCTATATATGCACAAAAATTTGGATCAAAAGAGAACAAAGATTGTGCAAGGTTGAATGTAGGAGTTAAAATTACTCAAGGATTTGTAACAAAAAATAAGTAAATATATGAGACTTATCATCTAGTTGGTTCGAGCCATGAGTTGGATCGGTTATGCATTCAACCCGTTTCAAATAGAAGTGAATTGGTCAATTTTCTGATTCAACGAGTGAACCAGAGAGGGTCAAACCGATTCAACAACAAAGATGTTTTTTATCAATTTAAAAAAAAAACTTCAAAGGAAAGCACATTATAAGAATCAAACCTCTTATGGGAGAGAAAAGAGCCTTATCAAACATTACAATGACCGCTTGTTCTAATGTATTTGTGTGTAATATATGTACTTAAATAACTTTTATAGTGTATTATTAATTTTAAATTATATATTTAATAATATAATATATGTAAATATTACATATATTATTTTGTGATATCAATTGCAAATAATATATATATTATTTATATTTTTAATTTGTATTAATACACAATTTAACATGTAACTTTTTTTATGTATTTCTTTACACAAACTAAAAAATAAAGATAGTTTTAAATAAGATGGAAATTGAAATTTAAGATATGACGAGTTTATTGAAATTCATAAGTATAAAATATATTCAACATGAATATTTTTTTTAAGAAATTAATAGAAACCGAATCTTGCAGTTCAATTAGTGATTCACCGATTCAATCTTTTACACATTAATCCAGTACCTTAATCAATTTGATGACCGATCCGATTTTTAAAATTATAATAGGCAGAGAAAAAAATTAACTTTGCATATTTTAAAACTCTGTTCACTGTGAGTAGCTTTAACTGTGAATGTCTCTTTGAGAAATTAATACACGAAATTTTAAATTGAAGTATTACCATTGAATAGATATGTACAAATGTTAAAGCAAAGAGAATGAGCTAATGAACATAAAAAATTGAACAAGAGCTCATGTAAAGATATCCATTTTCTTGGTTTAGTTTTTACTGCGTGCTTGTTGGTGTAAACCAACCTAAGCTTCTCATTAATTCTAGAATCAAGTTTGTTGCTTTAATTACCGTTGCTCCTAAGCTGAACTATTTTTATTTGTGTTCTTGTTCATCTCTAGGGAGCTGGTAATTTTAACTGTTTATGTGGTGAGTTGTACATAGATTTTTTAAAAATATTTTAAAGTTATGGCATGCAATTTCATGTTTGTCAAAAGTTTAAAGTTCAACACTTTTTTCAGTTGTTGATCAATCAAGAATTTTTCTGGTCAACACTTTTAGTAGTTCTGCTGGATGCTTGGAGCCAACTTTAAATGACCATATTAATAAGTGTATGAAAATTTAAAGTTACCTTACCAACTACTTAGTGTTTTTTTCCCCAAAGTATTAATTCGTTTTCTTAGTTGACCTCACTTGTAATCCTTAAAGTAGAAAAAATTTTGCTTTATTTTGTAATGTTGTAATTAATTATAATTGGTTATATTAGTGGGTAAAGTTTTGTTATAATTATGTTTGTTTATTTTGGTAAGCAATGCTCCACCAATTATATGATTTGAACAAATCTATAACATAATGATGATAGGTACACATATTTTATTGACAGCATTTATGAACATGATGTATGACGGTTTTTTTTTATATGTATTTTCCTTATATACGAATGCAAAATATATACAAAAATAACATGGTCATCCAACAAATACAAAATTATTTTGTTCCCTCACCTTTCCTTTTCTTTGCTTATGGTTTTGCTACCCATTACATGTTCTAATAGTGGTATCCATAGCATTCTTCTTATAGGTTGTGGGAAATGATGGATCTAGGAATTTAAAGTATCAGAGACAATACTAATATATAAATTTGTAGTAATAAATATATAAATTCAAATTTTTTAGAATTAAAAAATATATTTTAATTGCTCCCTACGTGATTTCATATTTTAAAAATATTGCATAATGTTCTCATTTTCAACATCTTTAAAATCATTTATCTTTATAGAAGTAACAAAACAATCATTTATAGTTGTAGTCCTATTGAGGGAGTTACATGTGTGTTTTCAATTAATGAAGTTTATACATACATACATACATATATACACACACATATGTATGAGGAGAGATCCACTTACTCTACTTAGACTTAGACTTAGACCACCCTATAATTTATGTTTTAAATCACATTTTAACAATCTAATTATTAAATTCAAAGTTTTTAATACACAAATTAAGTCTACATTTTTTTTAAAATATAAATTATTTGATACTCTGTTTAATTAATTTAAATTGATAGATAATCATAAAAGTACTTTATACATTGACTTGAATTTAAAAAAAAAAAAAAAAAGAGTATCAAATAGTTTTCAAAACTTTTAAAAATTTGTAGACTTAATATATGTGTTAAGGACTTTTAATTTAATAGTTAAATCATTGAAATTTGATGTAAAATATGTTATTGAGTGGAGTAAGTCTAAGTAGACTTAATTTTAAAGTAAGTGGATTCCTTCTCTCTCTATACACACACAAACACACACAAGAAGGGTTTCAATTATGTGACACCATCTATCCTGCATACGTATATAAATTTAAAATTTATAACAAGGATATAAAATATCCAAATCCATGCATAAATAATTAAATTGAAATCTCCAACATGAGGTAAATAGTCTCACATAACAAACTCATAAACGAAACTCCATACTAAGGTGAAAATATAAAACTAAACATAAATTATATCATAAGAATTAATAAAAAATATCCCTAGTTGAAGTCTTGATATCACATGTCCTATCAAAGTTCTCCCAAGTTAAGGATTAAGTCTCATCACCAGCATTATCATTATCGTAATGAGTCTCACTTAGATCAACATTCATAACAAAGATATTGAAACAAAGGGGGTTAGAAAACTTCTCACTCTAACTCATGAC